ATTAGACAGCAATCTAACTTTTGAAAACCATATATCCCATGTCACAAAAACTGCCTTCTTTCATCTGAGAAATATCGCTAAATTACGAAATATGCTGTCCATCTCAGATGCAGAAAAGCTAGTCCATGCTTTTATGACTTCTAGGCTGGATTACTGTAATGCTCTATTTGCTGGCTGCCCAGCATCCTCTATTAACAAACTTCAGCTAGTACAAAATGCAGCTGCCAGAGTTCTTACCAGGTCTAGAACATATGATCATATCACCCCAATTTTATCCTCCTTACACTGGCTGCCTGTTAAGTTTCGTATTGAATTTAAAATATTACTTCTCACCTATAAAGCTCTAAATAATCTAGCTCCGGTTTATCTAACCAACCTTCTGTCTCGCTACAATCCAACTCGCTCTTTAAGATCTCAAAACTCAGGGCTTCTGGTAGTACCTAGAATAGCAAAGTCGAGTAAAGGAGGTCGAGCCTTCTCATTTATGGCTCCTAAACTCTGGAATAGCCTTCCTGATAACGTCCGAGGCTCAGACACACTCTCGCAGTTCAACACTAGATTAAAGACCTATCTGTTTAGTAAAGCATACACTCAATGCAGCACCTAGCGGGTTCCACACAGGCTTCTGCATCTTGCTTATATACACTATGAAAGGCAGCTATGCTAATTATTTTCATTATTCTCTATTTTCACCTGGGGATACTCATCCCGAGGTCCTCAGATTATGCGGAGTCACTGATTGGATCCAAGACCAGCGACGAGATGATCCCAAGGATTCCATATCCGGGATCAGGCCATATCCTGAGCTGCTGCTGCGCTAATGGTCATGGGGAGTGGAGAACATGAGTCTGATTCCAGCGACGCTCCAGGGACAGACGAGTCTTCGCTGAGGCCAGCTTCCAGCCTCCACTGCGGTGACTGAAGCTCTGCACAAGACTTTTGGCCAGCGGAGAAATTAAAATGGTCGTGCCCATCTGAGTCTGGTTCTCTTAAGGTTTTTTTTCTTCACTCCTATCAGGTGAATTTTTTTTCCCTCTCCGCTGTCGCCACTGGCTCGCATGGTTCAGGATCGGTAGAGCTACGCATCGATGAATTTGCTCTTCAGTGTTTGGACTCTCATTAATGATTAAATCACACTGAACTGAGCTAAACTGAACTGAACTTAAACACTAAAAACTGAACTACACTGTTCCAGTTACTATGACCATTTATGTGAAGCTGCTTTGACACAATCTACATTGTAAAAGTGCTATACAAATAAAGCTGAATTGAATTGAATTGAATAATAGTCTAGTAGCATATGCTTTATTTTGGATTTTCGGGGTTAATTATTGTGATGTCCTGATTGCAGCAGAGAAATACTGGGAAATCTCTGTAGACTGATGGCATTTCATGCTGTTCAGCCTTATAATCTTAAAATGTGAGCAAAATCACCCGTTTTAGACATAACATTACGCTACACTACCGCACAAAAGTCTTGTGGTGGATCCCAGTTGTAAGAGCAACAAATAACAACTTGACTTCTAGTTGATCAAAAGTGGCAGAAGGTGGATTTTTCTGCTGAATCTTCTGGTGAACTGCATCCCAATCATCACAAATACTGCAGAAGACCTACGTCAGACCTTACTGTCCTAATAAAACAGCAAAAAATCAATGCATGATCATATTTTATTTTGGTTAAATAAGCGTAATCTAGAGGTCTTTGCCTTTCATATAAGCCACTTTTGATACCAAATGATCAGGGAATAGGCGAATGAACTGGGATAGGCGACAAGACTTTTGTCAGATAGTGTATAATACACATACCTGTCAACATTAGGATGTGAAAATAAGGGAAATGCCCACCATAATAAGGGATTCAGCTTATTAAAATGAGCTATTATGAAGAAATAGAACCAAGTCATCAAATCTCATTAGCCGTTTCCATACTGTAAAACTTACACATTCTGATTAAAGAGCAATTAATGAATCTCATTTATTAAATTTTTTTTTGTTTGATTACATTAAATAACAGGTTTCACTTTAAAATTGCACACATCTAACATTATAATGAAAGCATTTTATTGCTTTTCTGACTTTTTAGGCTCATTTAGGACGAAATTAGTTGTGTTTGGAAAAAAACCCTACTAAGCTCAACATCTTTAGATGCTATTATTATTAATTATGTGTATGTCTGTTTAAACATGCACCCAAAACCCAAACTTTTGCTCCGCTTCAAATCACAAGTACAGAATCCGTTTGGGAAACAGCATCTATTTATCACTATGGAGCGCGTCAGCTGACAGTCACGCACTGCTATATGACTGTTTTGAGGATTGCATATAAAGGGGAGACGGCACCTGCAATGAAAAGGAAGGGAATCGCGCTGTTTTTATGTTTAATTCAAAGTGTTTTCATGCCTAAACAAAGCGAAAGCACAGAATAGACTCATTTAAGAGCAAGGGGCGGTCCCTGGTGGTTCGGCGGTATGGGTTGCGTAAACTGAGGCTCGGCTTTTTAATGTTTATTTGCCACCCTTAAGAGAAAGTCTGAAAATACGTGAGAATTACGGGAAAATACCCTTACGGGATGATAGTGAGATAAAACTAAATTACGGGAGAATCCCGGGAAAAACAGGAGGGTTGACAGGTATGAATAATATTACACTGGGGAATAATTCAAATACTTGTTCTAAAGTGATGTTGCTGAATTAGCAGCAGTTTCTGCTGTTCTGACAGTCAGCTGCAGATGTTAATGAATGACAGAGAAAGTAGTACCTCAAGTTTCTTTCATACAAAAAGGATTTTTGAGACTATCTGTGCTTAATTTTTTTATATATATACACGATTAACATCGAACTGTTGCATAAACGCAATATTACAGCCGTAGCATTGCAATAATGGGCTGTATATCGACAAAGCGAGGGCACGAAGGCACTCTAGACAATGTCTGGCTGAGGTACAACTATTTGAAAACCTGGAATCTGAGGGTTTAAAAAAAAATCTAAATACTTAGAAAATTCCCTTTAAAGTTGTCCAAATTAAGTTCTTAGCAATGTACATTACTAATCAAAAATGTAATTTTGATGAATGTACTGTCAGAAATGTACAAAATGCCTTCATGGAAGATGATCTTCACTTAATATTCTAATGATTATGGCACTAAAGAAAAATCGATAATTTTAACCCATACTATGATTTTTGGCTATTATGAAAATTATGCACCCATACAACATAAGACACACATATGCACACATGCAAACATAAGTTTTGTGGTCCAGGGTCACATTTTCTAAACTATAGTGAATTAACTGTGATAATTGTTGAAGGTGTCAGGAATCATTTTTGGTTAGACTGTGAGGCCAAACTCAGGGCCTACTCACACTATGCCCTTCGTACCGTGCCCAGGCCTGTTTCCCGGATTGTTTGAGAAGTGTGAGTGCGCTGAATCGGGCTCAAGCACGGTTCACTTGGCCGGCCCTGGCCCGGTTGGTAGAGGTGTGCCTGAGCGCGGTTCACTTGGGCTTTGGCGCAGTACGCTTGTGTGTGAGTGCAAAACACGCCAAAGCCTGAAACTGAAAGCGATATGTGACTTTTAAGGGGTTGTTTCATATGGATTTATTAATCATTCTTACTGTTTAGTGATCACAAATCACTGAACGCAAAGTGATCTGCCGTAGTTTATTAAAGACGCAAACCCCTCACTTCACGACAGCTGCGCGCCTTCAGCAGACCTCCTCATTCCTGCAGCACGAGAGCTTTATGATTGTTTATGAGCGCCAAAAGTGGCGGATCTGTCCGGTGAAATATCTGACTGCGTGTCACCGCATCCCTAAGGACTGTTTGGCGAAATATTTGACTGCAAGTCAATGCATGACAAACGACTGAAAGGATATAACTAGAGGAATCTCCACTGTGCTACTGGGAGTGAGAGCGTATGGCAAGCCGTTTTAGCATTTAAACCTTGTTCTGACTATGCATAAAAATATTTAGAGATATCTCTAATTATATTTTGACTAGTCATAATT